TCAACTATACATATACTTATACACTTCTACGCTTATATAGCTATTTAATGATATATTTATTTACATTTAAACTTATTTACTCGGATTCTTATCTGATTTGTGCATATATATACTTATATACTTACGTACTTATATAGATATATGTATATGTATATTTATATAGTTATATATTTGTGCATTTGAAGACAATATAAATGTATACATATATACCTATATATACTCATACGTTTATATACTTTTATGTTTAGGTTTTTATATTTATAAGCTTACACAGTTATATACGTATGAATTTCTACCCATGTATACTGAAACAATAATTATATATACTTATGCAGTAACATTTTTATATATATTTATACTTACCACCTATACACTGTTGAATTATATACCATATTGAATAATGAAGCATTCGTTGCATTCTATAGCGCATTTTTGCATTTGTCCGTGTATTGTGCGTATTTACAAACATCAAATTTATGTTATCTGGATTTTTATAGTTTTACTAAACGAGGAATATATGTTCTAACACTTAGCGGATACGAATACTGAGAAGAAAATGTACAAACTTTTATTGACTTGTAAATGTTAACAGAAACCTGTTACGATTCGATCCCATCCTCTAAATTTTTAACACAAATTGCTCTTTGTTTTGTTAAAGCATTATCCACGAGTGTTTTTTGGCAACAAGTCATAATATCCATTTTTTAAAATATAGTTCTGAATTTTGTGTAAAGACATTTAATAAAATCCTGCTCGCATAAAAAGACAGAAAAAATTCTCATTTCGCTTTTGTTTCTCAAAGCAGCAAACCCTTGGCAGAAAGAGATTAAGAATTAAAAAATATTATCTATCCACGAATTTAAGAATGCTTTTATTAATTATTAGCTCCGCTTTTGCACAAATGCTTTATTAAGTTTAAGCTGGTGTAAGTACACACATTTCTATCAATCCACTCTTCATCGATAAGGTTTTTTTTTTAGTATTATTTTTACATATTTTACATATACAATGTAGCCAAAAATATAATAGGTAACAGTCTATTGGACCCCAATGGGAATAAGATAACGATACAGGTATGTTTAATAAATAGAAGTTGAAGTAAACTAAAAGGAGATCATACAAAATTGTAAAATGCATGCAAATAGTTTGAGGACCAAAAACAAATTAATTTCTCAAGGGAAGGCTCAGCGTATGACGGCCTTTCAACCCTTCTATATCACTCGATTCATATGAAAGAGATATTGCCGCAGGTTTTAGATGATAAGATATTTTAAAGAAAAGCATTGAACTCAATTTTTAGCGCAAAAAATGCAACTAATAGATATACACGACTTTTATTTGATATGTAATGACAATATATTTGATTGCAACAATTATCCCAAGGCACATCAAATATGCATACACACTTACAAATTTCATGTCTAAAGAATTGCTCGCCCGTATTTTTTCCAGCGAGCTAATACAGATCGTAGTTACCTTGTTGTGTTGACTGAATACTTTTGATACAAATTAAAAGCAGCAAAGGAGATCGGCAAAGTGTCGGCTTTAAAAAAAATTAGCAAAATGTGCTATGTGTGAACACTTTATACATAATAGATTGATTCAAGGCTGAAGAGTTCTTTTACCGAAACAAGCAATCGGTCTAGTCCGTTTTTAAGCTGCCGAAAAAAGTTTAATGAATCCTATGTCAAAATCAAAGATAAAAAATTGGCGACTGAAATAATTTGCTGCTTAACACCAAGAACATGAAGAAAATGGTTTGGTTTTCCTCTTTCTTTTACAGCTGCTTTTTCTTATACACAAAAATTTTTGTAACAACTCCTTTTGTGAACATGGCAATTCTAAAGCAAATTTGGCTATCGTCTATTTTGACAGAAATTGGAGAGCGTATTTAACAGGTGCTATGAAAGCGAAATTTTAATTTTTGATATGTCATTATCGACATGCTATTCCATGTTTTACGAAAGTGAAATCAAGTGCAAAATTTTAGCTCTCTGTAATTTCTACATGATTTTCTCTGAATTCCTTATCCGAATTCTATATAAGGTGCGACAAAACGCTATTAATGTGAGAAGTAGAGAAAATGCTATCTAATAGTGCGAAGAGTAACCTTTGATGTGAAATAAATAATATTCATTGCTCACCATGGATTCGTTGAAGGACGGTGACAAACATTTTGAAACTGTCATATTCGACACCCAAATCGCTTACTAATCATTTTCAAACCGATGCGATCTATGTCCGTTTTAGTATTTTGTTATTTTAAGTTTGATTTGATCGATTTTCTTCCGCATTTTCTTGACTGATATTTCATTTCAGTCCTATTGGGAGATATCATCGTCTGATTGACGTTTCGTTAGACGGTCACCTGGGTCGTCTGTTTTTTTCTTTATATGGTAATGATTTAACATCAGCCAAACGATGTTCAAATATTACCTGGTATGCAGATAATATCAAATTGTTTGTATCGTTTAACACATCTGGATATTCCCACGACCTGCTGTTTTATATACTAAAATGTGCTTCAAAAGTGTGCTGCCTGGCTTTCCAGTATTATATTGACGCTATTGAATCCGTCAAAAAATAATTATTGTTTCTTGCCTTGCAAGTTCTTAGGTGGAATCCGATTCACAATTTCTCACCGTATGATTATAGGCTGTTGCTTGTCGATTTGCCTAATCTTGTAAAACGCGTTTGAAGGACATTAGCCTAAATGTTTATTGCAGGGCTCTTAGGTATTACTCTGTAGTTAGGCTTCATTTATGCTAATTGATTGTCTAAAATTCGGTCCCTATTGTATAGTCTTAATGACTGCTTACCTAATGTTTCGTCAATGCTTAGCTATCTATACACTTTGTCTATTTATAAATTTATTCTATAGAATCCCCAGCTTTATAGCCCTAGTTGTTGGTTCTTCCAATCATTTTTGCTTTATTTTAGTCAGTTTATTTCAGTTAGGTTAATATTCTATAAGATATTAAATTAACATATAATACAAAATTAATATCTGGTATTAGGCTTTCAGTTTATTGGAGTTGTTCGAAAAGTCTTTCGCTTCTTTACTTTTGGGTCAAAACGAAAGGCGATTGTCTTTTAAATATGATCATAGTCGGTGGGGTTCGATGAACTTAATTTGCCGGTGGCCTCATGAGTTGTCGTGCGCTGCTTTATATCAATTCATGCCTTTCCTTTGTTTTTATCAGCTACAAGGGGCTCCCCAGAACATGTGTAATCGGCATTAAAATTTTTTAGAACGAAATTTTGCAAACCACTCTGTACACTGGCGAGCGGTCAACACGCATTCTTTCTACACATCCAATCAAAAAAAAAAAAAACTAAAATATGTCAAAAATGCTGTTTTCGACTTTTCTTAGGTGTGGCGGTACCGAACAAAATCTATTGCGCCGAATCAAACAAACCCTGCTTTGTCAGTTGTCAAAATGTGCATTGGTAGCGCGGTATAAGTGGGAACTTGGCTATGAAAAAATACAATGAAGTCCTGTGATGAAAAAAAAAAGAAGGAAATTACTTTCCAAACACATTAACAATTTATATACAAGTGTATATCAACCGTTCGTACATAGTATAAATTGTACGTGAATATGAAATGAAATGATGCCAATTATGTTGAGTGATCTTATGAACCGGTTCAGCCAATTTTTGCAATGAGCATAACGGCATTGGAAATGAGAAGCGTTGATTTCGCGATAGCGATCTGAGGAGATTGTTTACGTGTTTTTTTTTTTTTTTTAATATATATATGACAAGTCGAAGATATTCTTGGATCGAAAAGAGAAATCCAGGTATTTAAATTTCCATTCTTTGAATATAAGCATGTTCAAGTAAGTAAGATAATGTGTTATTTGCTGTCTTATGTGGCTGAAATAGTATCTTCTTGATTTTAATAAATTATAAAAAGATATATATATCTTTTGGAAACGTGCAATCAACTGTTGGTTATTTAAATGCCTCATAAGTAAACATTTCTTAATAAAAATTTTATTCAGATGCAATTGTGTGCTGAGCTAGTAATATTCATGGCAGAGAACGTAAAGGGAGCGGGCGGTACAAGAAAACCAGTTAAGAACGTTTATGCAGATTGCGCTGCTGCTGTATGTTCGGACAATTAACGATCGGGTTAGTTGATATTCAAATCATCATTTATATGATTTTTCTTGATGAGGCCATCATCAGTAATTTAGTGAGCAAGTTCTCGAACGACTACTTTGGCTGAAGGAAATCATTTAAACCACAGAAATAGATGACAGATGATAAAGGCATTTCTCTGTCTCGTCCCTTGTTAAGCTAATGAGTTTTCGCTGAGTTAAGTCGTAACTAAATTGGGTTGTGTATCCTCCAAGATAAAACGAAAAACGCATTAGAAAGCATCGAAATGAAAATGCGAAATTTGAAACCAAAGCCGAATTGCATCCCAAAAAGGTGTGGTGTTACATTTTTCTGAATGTTGTTGTATGCAAATCAGGTTGAATTGAAAGAAAATTTAATTATGCGGAAAAGATCATAGCTACGTTGCGTTACTTTCTCAGATTAATAGTATAACACTTTTGCACGGGTATAGAGAATGATGGAGAGCATACTATTGACTTACGAATATCCTTCTAACTTGTGTGTTCGAAATGGAGACTTGAATATAAAATTAAGAAATAATCTCAATCCGATCAATGGTTCATTTCAAGTTATAAGAAATAGCTTGTACCTTAATTAAGACGCTTTTTTTTTTTGTTTTGTTATTAGGAATAAAATAACTTGCTTTTATTCCGCTTTACGTTTTCCTATTCGCCTGAGTAGCCGAAGACGAGGAATCTCGACTAGCAAGTCAATGGTCATGGGTTCGAATCACAAGTGCGGTAGAGTTTTTAATAAAATGCGATAGCCTTAGATGCTAGTGCTTGTAGAAGTTTAGTCTTAGAATTTATTTCTCTGGCGAAATTAATAATAATAATAATAATATGTTTTCAAATTTCTCAGTTCGCTGATATACATATTCAGTCGTTTAGATATTGCTATATTCGACCTATACTTAATATTTTTTATTTGTTATCATTTAGTTTTCACATTATTTCGTGATAAATGAAATGGATAGACAAGAGAAATATCAGTATCGTACCCTGCCGACCTCAGCTTAACATGATGTATAATTAATAGATTCTAAATTTATGATAAAATGAATTGATTTTGAGTAATATACTATGTGGTAGAAACGTAAAATCTTTCTTCATTTTTTCCTTTCTTTTTTTTTCATCACTTGCTGTTGCTACATTATGGGGTCGCACGTGTCAAGAACTTATTTTTTAATGCTTGAATTTTCGAAGGTGTTAAAAAATAAATTGCTTACGGTAAACCACAATATGATACGCCCGCTGTCATCTTTTCTACTTTCCTCGAATCATATCAGTTTTGTAAGAACATATAAAATTTTCCCTTAAATAGCTATAATTAATTTCGATAAATCTCTACGACCGTCGGTAATCATTTTTGTATGCTACGGAAGTAAAATAAAAAACAGGGCGATACCTCTCGTTTGCATTGTGAGTAATTTTTGCAATTTTGTTTCAATACATCGACAATATACATGCATATCAAATTGTAAGAGATAACATAAATAGAAAATAAATTTTCATGAAATATAATAATAAACCATATATTGTGATCATAAATTTTGTTTACGGGAGAGTTTGCGTGTCCTTTGGAATTTTATGAAAATTTAGTTCGATACAGTCTTTAACCGAAAGTAGAAAAGAATTAATTTCAAGGCGATTATCTCTTCTTGTATTCTTTGTTGGAGTGATAATAAAGTTTTTAACTAATTTAAAAATGGCAACTTTTATTTCACTCAATCCCAATTTTAAGCCTAAAAAAGTATGAGTAAGTATATTAGAAAGAGAAATGATTTTTTAATTAAATAAAATTGGTACTAACCGGGACACATTCTGGGTCCATCGCCGAACGGAAGAAATACACCCATTTCTCGAAACTTTTTTGTTCCTCCTAACTCTTCATTAAAACGTTCAGGCCAAAAATCTTCGGGATTTTCAAAATAATCAGCATCATGATGAAATGAATACGATGAAATATATACACTATCTCCAGCATTAAGGTTGACATGTTTTCCATTTTCGTTAACCTTTATGGTAATCGATTCTGCGCATAGTTTAAATAAAGTAGTTAACGGAGGAAATAAACGCAATGTTTCTTGAATGCATTGATCTAAATAGCGCAAGTTCATTAACTCATCATAACTTAAGGGTATTTCATTCTCATTTAGTTCGGCACGTAGCTTCGTTTGAACCCTTTCATTGCGAGCTAACTTTGATTATTAAAATCAAAATTTATTAAATAAAAATCTTCAAAGTTCAATAATTCGTTGCCTTTACCAACATAAGACAATGGGCTATAACAACTGCAACAGTTTCAAAACCATCAATTAAAAGAGTGGTGGTGTTACCGGCTATTTGCTCATCATTTAAAGATTTTTTGTCCTTAATTGCAACTAGATGACCAATTACATCGTTGGTAGGTTTTTCTGAACTTTTTTCCCTTTGATTCATTAATGTTTTAACTACATTTTGAAAAAAGTCATCGGTTTCTTTCGGAAAGAAACGTATAGGCCTTAGAATTCTCCAGCTAATGGTTTTTTCGTAAGAGCTTACACACTTTAAAGCCTGTTTCAACATATTGTCTGCCATTCGATGCAACGGCGACTTTTCATGTATATTTTCGAATATATTTTCTTCTATCCCCCATATAAATTTGCTCATAACGTGGATCGTAAAACGATTTGCTAACTGGAAGAAATTTTACACAACACTTTTAGAAAGCTGTTAAAAATTCTTTTACCTCCTTTGCGTTCAAGTACGTGTAACCTTGTCTCTCAATAAAACACACCAATTGATCAGCGCTTTTTAACATCGATACATAATACGAACGTAGCTGAAAAGATGACATAATTTACCTATATTCCAATCGTTTAGGAAAACGTTTTTTGAAATAGTGAACTTAAATGTAATGCTTTCAAAAAAAAAAAAAAAAAAAAAAAGATGAAGTGAAGAGGAAGCAATATTGGTTTTGTTTCAAATAAACCAGTTCGCCACATGGATTAGCTTCAAGAAATATTACAGAAGCGATCAAAGTTTAAAAATATCAGAAGCATAAAAACTGCGTTTTCCTTTATTGCCTCGCAATCAGTATTTGAACAGCTAACTTTTTTGTTTTTTTATTTATTATAGCAGCTTATTATAAAACCGGGGCGTACGGTCCAGATTAGATCTTTTCCAGTAAGATGAGTTCTCAATAAACTACGTTTTCATTCCCTCAATCTCTTCTACAACTGTGTTGCTTAGCATATTGAGTCGTTGGAACCACTTACATCCATTGTATTTAATTTAAGGTAAAGACATCTGGTTCCTAAGCAACACTTTTATTTTCATTTCATCAAAAGCTCGCGTCTGGTTCATTTTCTTCCCTTTGTGTCTTATTCTTCTTTGCTCAATTGGTAAAGAAACGTCTGTAAATGTATTTGCGGAAAGATTGTTAAAGAGCCTCTGAGTCCAAAATTCGAAAAAAAAAAACAATGTGTCACTCACCTATGACGTTTTAGAAAATTTTTGCAATCGATGACATGACATGCCATAATTTGAAGTAAAAAATAATTTAAAAAATACCCTAAATATATTCCTGATCATGGACAAATTTTATTGCTACGCCAGCCAAAAACACATTTGATTACATTTTCAAAATTAGCCTTAATTTCGGCAATAATTTGGTTAAATATTATTATACTGAAGAGAGGGAATAATAATATTTAAATGATGAAATAATCGATTAAGATCATTTTTTAACAGAGTTTATCTAAGCTTGCCTTGCCATTTTTTGGATCGCTTACTATATAACTCTTTGTTTTGAATCGTGATATCGACTAACTGTGTTATCCTAGTTGGTGTAGGCTATTTATTTTTGTATGCTTTTACTTGTTTTTGTGTTCAACATCCACATGTGCGCAAGAAAAAGATTTTCTTGATTTTTTGCGAAGCAATAAACATTGCGAAACTTATGAAATATAAATTATTTGCAGTATCGAAATTTTATGATTACCACAATTCTCTGCCATATCGCTTAAGAATATGATTAAGCATTTGAGAAATTCCTAGCGAAAAGCGAATAACTCGAATGGCTTCAAATCATTCGTAAATGTTGTAAAACTACCAGTTGACTAATGTTGTGGTTACTTCCGATCATAGTAATGGCGAGATGCCGTTGCGAAAGAAAAAACGCAAAGTTATCACATTTTTAACGACTGTAAAAACATAATTACTCGATAGCTTTGTTTGAAATCTTTTCGCAAACCACACAATTATCGCCCTTTTTCAATTTATGTAGTTTACTCGAAGTTTTGTCTTCTATAATACTTACACGATTTACGCTTAGGATTGGCGCTAAATCAGATCTTCTCGCCCTCCATTCTTCACCTGAAGTAACAAAGGGGCTACAAACCCTCAGTCGTTCTACCCGGGAAGATGTCTGTAATTCAAAGGAGTTCAATTATAATATGAATTCTTATATATTTATTCTCTAGCTTTTTCACCCATTTCGATGATTCATTAACTCGGAATTTCGTAAAATTATTTGTTAAAATTTCGGCAGCTAACATAGGATCCAAAATAAATAATTTAGGCACACGTCGTGAGAAAACACCCACGCAACGCTCAGACGTTTTATATTTACTTAAAAGTTGGAAAATTTCTTTAATTCAAAACAACTCTAATAGATTTAAATTTTTAATCTTTAGTTAACTCACATGTAAATTTCATGTAATTCTTCAATTAAACTGCATTGTCCTGCAAAAGATTTAGGAAATGTACCTTTGAATAGTTGCGGTCGGGGTCCTCTAACATTTCGTTTTCGCCAATAATCGAAATGCCATGTTAAATAGCAATAAACTGATGCAATTATCAAAATTGACAATAATATTAAGTAAATTAAAACTGAAATCATTTTTCTTCTCCACGCAACAGCGATACATTTGATAAGTAAATAAGTTAGTCTTTAACAATTCAATATTGAGCAAAAGTAAACTTAATAATAAACTGCACAGATTTATTTCAATAGAGCATAGAGAAGAAATAGAGATAAGGATAGAAAGAAAGGGAAAAGGGATAAGTGAGAGGTATAGGAAAAGAGATAAGAAAAGTTCATAACTTTTGAAACAAAAGCTTGAATTAAATGCACTGAATAAATATGCTGAATTAGTTTCATTCTTGTTAATATTAAAAAACTTTTAATCAATTTCTACATGTGTTCGTTTTTTCTTGTTGTTTTATTTTTCATATATTTTTCATTCAATAAATGTAATTTCACTCTTCACTAGTTGTAGAACTTCAAAATATGATTCGATTTATTACATATGTGAAAATATGCAAACTACAGACCAATACTTTTTTTGAAACTACTTCATCTGCATTGGATATAAATTGAGATTAAAAAAAAGTTAGAAATGAGGAAGCAAGTATATATGAAAGTCATTAATAGGAGTTTATATATTCATTTAAAACGTACTTTTAGTAAAGCACGCACCGTTTATACTAACACGAATACCAAAACAAAGTTTTCATTGAATTCTAATCGTTTAAAGAGTAAAAAAAAAAAATTCTTGAATATCTTCTAATTATAATTAATTAAAAGATATAATTACAATTTTTAAAGATATTTCGGCATTTCATATTTAATCGTTTATAGAGTAAAAATTCTTGAATATCTTCTAATTATAATTCATTAAAAGATATAATTACAATTTTTAAAGATATTCAGATCATTGCATATCAATCAAAGTATTCACCAACCAAAGTACACATATAAATCAAAGTTTTCGTATAATTTAGAGAAAATAATTACGTTGAAAAATTTCTTTAATAATTGGAAAAATAATTATCATTAGTTTTTCAGTAAAATAAAAACATAAAAAGAAAAGTCGTATATTAATCGATATATACCAATCAATAAGGTATTCAACACGTTTAATTAAGAGGAATAATTAAAAAAAAATAATGAATGAATATCTTTAAATTATAATTACTTAAAAGAAATAATTATAATTTTTGAAGACATTCGGCAATTAACATTTAATCGTTTAAAGAGTAAAAATTCTTGAATATCTTTTAATTACATTTAATTAAAAGAAATAATTACAATTTTTGAGGATATTCTAAAATAAAAAAATTATAATATCAAATCATACATTAATTAATATAATAATTCATACACAAATTCATAAGAAATTTAAAGTAATAAAATAAATATTTAAAAGAAAAAAAAAAGATATTTACGGTAATTCGTTTAATTAAATAAAGAATAAATTTTCATTAATATAAAATAATTCATTAAAAAAATTAATTACAATTTGTAAAGACATTGAAACCATTGAATAATTAAGTTTTAAAATTTCTTTAATAATTGCAAAGATTATTCTCATTAATTTTGAATTATTTGATAAACATTTTTCGCAGGTATATAGACAATAGGCAATAGAGAGAAGAATACAGGGATAGAAAACTGATCACAAAAAATAAAAATTAAAAAAAAAACAGTAAAAATTCTTTAAAATCTTTCAAAAGAGAAATAATTACAGTTACAAATATTAATTAGTTAATTAATTAATTGTTTAATACGGAGCAACATCAGTAAATTTAAAGTTCATTAAATAATTAGTTAAATAATTAATTAAAAAAAATCAATTAATTGAAAAATTAATTACCAATTGTTAAAACGGAAGAAAGGAAATGGAATTGGATATTCAGAGGATAGGAGGAATCAGTAAACTTAAAATTTATTAAATAATTAATTAAATAATTAATCAATTAAGTGAATTGTAAAATTACAATAATGTTAATTAATTAATTATTTCATTGAATTCTAATTTTGACGAAGTCTTACAGAAACTTATTTATTCAGCAACAATCGAAGGTAAATTTGACTTACTTTGCAACTGTTGATTTAATTCGCGAGAGCTTGAAATTTAAATGAATTTTTTATTAGAAAAAATTTTTATTTTTAGTCGTAAGTTATTTTTTAATTTTGATATCGTGTGTGTGATATAATGTGAATGTTGTGAAATGTGTTTTTTAAATATGTAATAGGGATTCCATTATTACTTTTTTTGCACGGTCTTTTGAATATATTTAGAGGTTTTCCATCTTATACGATTTTTCAAAGTTATAGAATATATTTCCATGTTTACCATATGCCTCATGTATTTTTTTACATTTTTTGCTTGGATTCCTAGGGGATGCATCTACCATGTAAAAAAAGAGTTGGGTGTATATGTATACAAGAGATGGAATTGAGTTAAAGAAAAACAATTCTATCTACTTTTTTATATCAAAATCTAAAACTGACGGTGTCAACGATGAATAGGCATCGGCTATCGGCGATATAAGAACAATTAGTCAAAGTATTAAATATTTTAGTCTATCATGCAATGACGTGAACACGATCTGTTAAATTTCACAAGAAGTAAAGTTTGAGCTTGCTGTCTGCTCGGTTTTCAACCAAAAGATGTTTTTTTTTAGATTTGAAGAACTTCATTTCATGGATATAAGAAAAATCACAGAAACTTATTAATGAACCCACATTTCGCCTCTCCACATTTAACTTAAGCAGAGTTGAAAAGCGCAATTTTTCTGACTGCAATATAAAGCTTCACTCATTTTTTTCTTATCTATCTATCAGGTAAATATTTAAGGCACTTTGGCACTATTTTTTGTCTATTGGTCCTCCAGAATATGAAAATTCAGCTTTGGTTAATTAGATAGAATGTGTCCAAAAAAGAAAAGCTGCAGTTTTTAATATATTTCCTTTATTAAGAGAGCTTGTAAAATGAATTAAATAATCCTTTGGAAATAAGGCGTGTCTAGGCATACAGTTCTATCAAAAATTCTTCCATATGTATTCCTAATTTTAATAAATCAACATAACATGTTGATAGAGGCGGTTCAATGATTTCACAATCGCTTTTTTGAACTTTACACCTGGAATAACGATTTAATATTCCATCCCATATGGCTTATGAATATACTGCCCTAATGAAGTTGTACACACCTATGTGGGAACGAAGGCAATAACGGCAACAACTTTGACATATTCGGCAATATTACAACTGCTGACAACAAAGTGACGTTTACAAATGTCAAATACAATATTGAATCTGTAACAGCAACAAGAACATCTTTTAATTCAAACTTACAACAAGACCTATGTCAGTTACACATGTGTATGCATTATATACCGAGACACGATTATCTGTTTGAAATGAAAAACACATTTCATGTAAAAGGAAAAGAAAAACAAAAAAGAAAGGAAAAAATCCTACACAAAATTTTACTGCAACAAACGGAATGAAAAAGGAATTGAAAAAAAAAAAAAAAAAACAAGAACACAAGAGAATAGAAAAGAAAAACACAAACATTTTCAATCAGCGGGTCTCTCAGATTCACGTTCTTCTGTCTATTCTTATTATTGAAAAAATAAAAATGGCACGCCATCACATTGCAGACCGACGAAAAAACCTTCAACCGCATGTGAATATGTAGTAGAAAGATATCGTTCTGTAACAGTGTGGGATATCTGTTCAAGTGCATGAGAGAAAAAATTACACCTAAAGTAAATTTGGTGTCAGTATGAATGAATGATGTATACAAAGGGATACCAAAAGTCATCCGTTGCTGTCATTATTTTTTGTTGTTGTTGCTCATGACCTTAAACTTACATACATTTTTCATTTTTAATTTTTTTTTTTTGTGTTATTCACTCTCAATTTGCTTTTCATATCCTTTCGACTTTTGACATAGATGTTTGTATGTTGCTATGCATTATTAGTATTAGAGTGCATTGAGCTATAAGCTTGTAGTGGCGATGGTGATGGTGGCAATTATTGCTGCTTTTTACTTATTTTGGGTCGATTTGTGGTTATCAATCTGTTCGCCCGTCTGTCTGCTGTGGTTCGGTCTTGTCTGCCTTATTCTCCGTCGAAGTTGTCATGTTGGTTTTGTCCAATAATTAACTTTGACTAATTTGTATCAAGTGTCATTGTATACTATTTATGTTGCACTTATAATTTCTTTTTTGTTCCTCTTTTATTTTTCTTATTCTGCTCCCCTTTTTTGTCAACTCTTTGACACCGGTTATGAAATACAATCGAATCATGTGTGTTTGAATGCGTGTGTGAGTGCGTGTTTCTCTTCCTTTCTCTCTCTCTCTCTCTCTCTCTCTCTCTCTCTCTCTCTATCTCTCTCTCCGTGTATATGCAAGTGTGCAGATATATAAGCGTGTCGGTAAAGTGAGAAAAGTGTACACAATTTTCTGACAACATCACAAATCGGAAAGTAATTAAATTGTATCAGATAATTTTCTTGATAATAACTGGAATGTGTATGTAACGGACACAATGAAAATTAATAGAAGATAATTGCATATCAAAAGTGTTGTCTATTAAACTATGTTATGTATGTGTATGTACAGTTTTATATTGTAATGAGATTAGAGTGAATCACGACAAGAAATTAAGGTCCGCGGCTAGTCGGAATTTGAGATCATTCTCATTTCTTTCAATATTAAAGTGAGATCAATAGCAAAATATTCCCAAAATTGAGAATTAAATGTAAAAAAAAAGGTAGCAAGAAAATTATATTCGATCGAAAAGAACTAAATTTTCATATTCTATAACATTGGATGGACGCGGCTGATTTTTCCTATTTCCGGAATACAACTGTAAGTTTATATCATGTATTTGTTGTACTTTATGAGTAACAAAACGGAAAACACGAAAAAAAGGTGCTAACAGCTCCTGTTATACAGACGTGTACGTGTACGTTTTTGGAAATTTTGTATCTTTTTCAAATTCTCTTGCAAGTTTACGGGCGCTACGTTAATTTTTGCGAACGAGAGGGTTGTAGGGATTTTGAAGCTTGTTTCTGCGCTTTATCAAGGTATTGCCAAAAAAAAAAAAATTATAATTTTGATACACTATAATATCAGGTAGGCGTGATCAAT